ACAGCCGTGCGCGAGTCGGCAACTGGGCCTTTACAACCCTCCAGCCGAATGTTGGCACCGTTGTTCTGGACGACCACAAGGGGCGGCCACTCGTCAGGTCACGCAGACCAAATGGAGAGCTGCGAGAGAACTTTACCATTGCCGATGTGCCGGGTCTGATCGAAGATGCGCATCTAGACAAAGGGCTCGGACTAGGCTTCCTGCGACACATTGAGCGCGCCGCAGTCCTCGCCTTCGTCATCGACCTCTCCGCCGGTGATGCCGTCGCAGCACTCAAGCTACTCTGGCGCGAAGTATCCGAGTACGAGACACTACGCGGAAAGGAACTCAACGCCGAGACAGAGCGCAGGATGGTCACCTACACGCCCGCTGGCAAAGCACCACCGAGCGACGCATCCGACCTCCTCGACTCGCCGCATCTGGATCCTTCGCCGAAGCCTCTTCCCTTCCTGAGCACAACCCCGATATCGTCGAAGCCCTGGTTCGTTGTCGCGACAAAGGCCGATTTGCCGGATACGCAGGCCAACTTTGAGGCTCTTCGCGCGTATCTGGAGGAGGTGAGCAAGGGCGCGCAACCCCATCCTAGCAACCGCAAGCATGCGTGGCGGCGCAACGTGCAGACTGTGCCGATTAGTGCAATACAGGGTGAAGGTGTGCAGGTTATCCCGCAGTTGGTGATGGACTTGTTGGAGGAATAGTATAGTAATGATACCCTTGTCTCCTCTCTGAATATCTCAATGTTGTTTGAAATGTGAGCGCTTCATCTTGGGGACAGGCCCTTTGGATTTGCGCGGTATTGTTCCATATTCACCATGTGCCCTACGCATACATACTGATATGCCATTCCGTTATCTGAGTCGCGTTGCACTGAAAGGGTAATTTGAAAGCAATCATCATGTCGTGAGGCTGTTATTGCAGAGCCTCACATATAGCTGCAGGATATGCGTTAGCGCCCATGCTTATTTCTGGCATGTGCATTGCTTCCTCAGATAGATGTGCAGTTGAGTCGAGATTTGGAAGGCGCGACCGCGACGACCATATTGAAGCGCTACTTCCTAACGCGCAATTTCGCGAAGCGCAAGTGGGGTGGAGGGGTAAACATCACAGTCAATACCACTTGCCTGGCTTTCTCACACACTTGTATCCTCTCTCCGTCATACTGTCGCATCACTGCGCGCCTCCAAACTGACTTTCATCTCATTTCAAGACAGCAGATTGCTTTCCGTGCATGTCGTGCACTGAGAGGCTTCAGGTGTCACTCCCTAAGTACTTCCAAATGAGGCAGACAGCTGATAACCAAGTTCAACAACTAGTGAAGGACATCGCGAACAGCACCAGCGAATTCTACGATATCGAAGATTACTGGAAGAATATGCGACAGGTCCAAGTATAACGCGCTCGATTCATGTGCTGATCCTACCAGCAAGACAACTACGCAGCTGGCAAGTGCATCCGCATAGGGACAAGTCGTTGCCGCCAGGCGTATACATCAATCTGCATACCTTGTATTGACAGAAGAAAGAGATGGTGAATGTATCCTGGGTGTCCTATGGGCTGTTAAGACATAGCGACAGCGAATAGTCGAAATAGCAGCTATGGCTATCACGGCGGGCTTTGCCCGCCTATGATAGCCATTATGCAGCTTCTCGACACGCACAGGTCACTCGATGCCATTCCGAAGCTTTGGTGGTTCGAGCGTGGTCCACTTCCAAGTTTTGGTGTTCCCGACCGCCACCGGCCCAGATCCAGCTTTTCACGCGTCCCAGCGCGCAACGTCAAACGCTGCATTATATATACAGATCTATTTGTCTAACCTTCGCCTTCGGGCATTTGGTCAATTTGAAACGATACAGAGAAGATTAGCATGGCCCCTGCACTAAGGATGACACGCTCAATCAAAGAGAAGCTACCATTTTTTTGCTCTTTGATCTGACTCCTCCGCCAAATCGGTGCGTGGAGACCCGGGTTCGAGTCGAGCCCAGCTCTTCTTTTTGCCCTCTTTTTGCTGCGCAAGGGTCCAGCGACCTTTCTTCCCGCACAATAATGATCAAAACACCATTTCCTCTGCACTTCACATTTTGCTTTCTTCGCAAACACAGATATTGCATTGCAAATCTCTTCAACCTATCCTATCTACTCCGGCGCCAGATCAAGAGCAAAAAAACGGTAGCTTCTCTTTGATTGAGCGTGTCATCCTTAGTGCAGGGGCCATGCTAATCTTCTCTGTAGATGGGGGGCGCCGCTGCGCGGCAGGCTGGCAGAGGCGGCGGGCTCGCACTGTACTCTGACTGTGTCGACTCAGCCTTGTCGCAGACCACGCCCTGGCAGCTACCATCCCAGTATTGCCGCCTTTTGGGTTGTCGCGGCGCTGATGTAGGCGTCTGGACTAATCTTTTCGCGACAAGATATGCGAATAGAACCTTGGAAACCGGGCACTCAGTGCAGGCTCGCGGGTATAGCGCCTTCGTTCCAAACATCTTGCGCTCCTCTTCAACGATATAGCGAAGTCGCACTATCATGTTATCGGCGTCGACTCAAAACTCCTCTTCCTTAGAAATACCCATAAAGGGAAGCAATCAATGGAAAAGCTACCCGCCTTGCACATCACGTTTCTTGAGAGAGATGCCGCAGCGCTCAACGGGCTCGCACAGGATTTGGATTGCTCCCCTCCCCGTACCAGCGGCAGTCAACACCGCAACACCTCTTTCGAGGTCTCGTTAATGCGGACTACCGAACCTGGCGTCAAAGCACGCTTAGAGTCAAACCTAGGATACTTCCTGTGCTGCTGTTCGCATAGTCCTAGCAACTACATACATCGTAATCCTTCCCTTTAGACATATGCAGCGTTGATGTAGTCGCCCGGCGTAGAACTCGTTTGCGACGATCCCTGCCTACAATCATTCTTGTACGTCCTCTATTTTAGTTCTGGTAGGGTCTAGATTGCTCCTGTCTCTTGTCGGCGGCATCTCAAAGATACTGGCCCAGTTCCATGCATATCAGCCAAACGCCTCGAATGTGTTTCTCACGGCCTAGTCCCGGGTTTGGGGTTCCTACCACTTCACTCCAGCATCCAGTGATTGGCGAGTGTAGCCACATCGTCGCCGGCCGATACGCTTGTTGGCGAGATACCGGCGACGTGATCGCAATTCTTCCGTATCCAAGCCGTCAAGCCAGTCGACGAGCCGGCTGAGTCGTGGGATAGATTTATCGGCATTTCCATACATCGTCAACCAGGACCTTCCCTCCAGCTCGTCGCCATTTCGAATGCCGCTGACTCTGATGCCGAGACGATCAGCGGGGTCGTCGTATGCGAGACGGGCACCGGAATCGCGAGCGACAGTATGCGGGTGACTTCCACCCATGACGCTCCAGATCGGGAATCCGTGATCCGCTTTGCCGCATATATAGCTTTGTGAACTTTAGATCTAACAGGTCTCGAGGGGACCGGGAGCACTTCATAGACTTCTAGGAATTTGCCCAGCACCCCAGGAATCCGTGAGAACCTCCAGGCTTAGTCGATATATATCTGGGTAAGCTTGTATCGCCTTTCAAGAAATCGACTTTGCCGCATACATCGCATACCAAAGTTCTGTTTTAGCAGGTAATGGAGGACCCGGGGGTACTTCACAGTGTTCTGGGAATCTGTCGAAGACTTCGGGCTCTATCTTTTCGATATATATATTGGAGTATCGCGCGTTAGGCATAGCTTGAAGAGGGTGGAGTGGTGCGAGAGATAGGGTAACAATGTTGACCCTCGCAAACTCCCTCCACTCCCTCGCCAGCGACTTGCCCTTATATACCTGGGTATGATCTTGTAGCCTCGAAAGAGATCGCTTTTGCCGCATACATAGCAGCAGGACATTGTGTTCTTATAGGTATAGGTGGGCCCTGGAACACTTCATATGGTTTCAAAAGATTCTCAGAACACTGAAACATCTGTGTAGACTCCCCGCTCATCGCCGAGCTTTCAGCGTAGGTACCCTCGTTGCATCCCTGTTTTGTATCTATACTTACATGTAAATAGTGGAAGAGCCTGGGACATTGGCACCCGGCACTCCGGTTATATCCGCAAGAAAGAGAAAGACAAACGGGTGCCTCATAATGATCATTTGATCATTCATATGTTTCCGTATGAACGAAATACTCATGAATTAGTCATAAAGAAGTCTTTAGAAGGGTTTTTAGGTTTTCGAAAGAGGTCATAGGCAACGGGTGCCTCAAGTACTCCGGTGGTACTACGCACAATCTCCGATTCGATAAGCAGTTACTGCCTACCAGCTACACAGTCATTGGGTCCTGCATCGAGCAGGTCACGCACTTCGACATGGAGAACGACTACCGCCTCAATGTGAGGGAGAGGGGGTTCGGGAGCTACTCGTACACAGCCGTGGACATCACGCGAACGGATTGGGCGCACGCCTTCGCAGCAACCGAGCACCAGGGGCTAGGGCGCAAGGCTGGTTTAACAGAAGTGCAGCTCCTGCCGCATGTAGAAGAGTTGGTGATACAGATAATAAGCGTCAGCCGGTGTGTCTTGTTCGCCGAAGCCGCCTAGCACACAGCCGACTTCTCTGGATAGGTGTAAGATATAGTAGACAATGCAGCCCAGCTACAATGTAACGTGTTCCTCAATCTGTCTTAATAAGCTTTTCATACGATGGTGCTCTTGCAGCTAGCGTAAGGGCTATTATGACTTTTGACCCCGGTCAACGCCCATAGCCTTCACGACCACGCCGAGCTTGTCACGAAGCCTAGAAGCTTTAATCCGCCCCAAGACCTGTCATCACATAAATGTTATTGGGTCCAGGCAGCTTGGTATCGCTATTTCATGCGAACCAAACATCATAATAGCCTATCTGCACGGCAATTGACTCAACTAGACAGATGCACATACGAATCGATAGTACCTAGGTATCTAAATCACCACTAACAAGAGTCAAGGGTCATAACAGGAGAGAATTATCATTGGGTTTATGAAGTGTATCTACTCATCCGTCTTGCTAAAGACCGCAGTGAGGTAGAGCAGCCGTCTTATAGACAGCAGGGTCGAAAGCAGGCCGAAGCAGGAAAGCGAGAGGGCTGTGTACTCGCTTTTAAGCCCAGTCAGCGTCGACATACTGCCTCAACTTCTGCTCGTCGCCGTGGTGCTTCCAGAAACGAACGTAGTTGGCTTTGCATCCCTTCCGGTGCTCGGCGTGCAGGCCTAGGGCTGTGATCTTGAGATACCTCTCAAAACCAGGATAGTCCTTGACTTGTGGTCTACATTGTACAGGAGCGAGCATCGAGTGAGTGGAGCGGCGCGGCACGACAGGGTACGGGATCTTGTGCGTGTTACTATAGCGGTTTTGTTTGAAGGCGTTGTTCTGGATGTTCGGCATAGCGGTTATGTACACACCATGTGGCATTGATGGAAACCAATGTTGCTGGTTACATGTCCTGTGAGTACACCAGTCATCTCGGTAAAGCACGCAAACAAGAAATCGAATAGGTGCGTTGCAGTCTACATTGATACAAAAATAAAAGTCAGCAAGGTTTCAAAGGTGATGTAGACTTCTGGAAGACATCCTTCCGTTGATCCCTGCAGGAGGTATGCGACAGTCTAATCAACCAACGATATCTCTCATAATGTGGCGAGCTCGTATTCGAAAGCCTACATAGACATACATACATCGCAAAACTATCGCACAACAAAACCAGACTCCATTTTCGCGGGCCTACCGCCCATCGTGGGTATCATACCTGAACTGAACGGACGCATGAAAGCAAACCCTGGGTATACACCCGATCTCACTACCATTTCCACACTCCATTTGCCTACTTCTCCACCTTCGCGACCTTCTTCTCTCTCTTCACCTTCTTCTCCTTCTTCACTTTCTTCAAGTTCGGATCAAGCCCGCATTCCAGAAGAGAAGTCAGAATAGGTCCCTTGCACTGTTCCCTCGCCACGCCAACCTTGCGCTCCAGCTCAGCGCGCAGCAGTGTCACGGCATCATCCTGCAGCTCAGGAGTGCTGAGTTGCTTGTACGACGCCTTGATCTCTGCTATGTGGAACGCAATAGCTTGTCTGCCCATCTCCATCAACGCCACTTGCTTGGCTTTCCAGGCGGTGTCAAATCTTTTGACGAGGATGTCGTAGGGACTCTTCTTTCCGCACATGCACGCTTCCAGTGTCTGCATCTGCACCTCTTTCATAGTCTTTCGGGCCATCGGTTTTGCCTCCAATGTGTCACCATAGACCTTCTTCATTTGTTGGGGGAAGAAGTCACCGTTGCCGTCTTCAGTAAGACGTCCTCGGAATAGCCGAATGAATTTCAGCAGGTCTCTGCCGACAGCATTGAACATGTTGTAGAGCTGCGGTTTCTTGTCGTCGAGGTTCGCCCCGAAAGTGTTGCTGTCGAGTTGCTCAGCGGCACCGAGAAGGGCCTCCAGGAAATTGTCAACGTCTCCTTCTAGTTGGTATGCAAGGCTACCCAGCCTGGAGGATACTTCCGCTATGAGATCCTTAAACAGTGGGTCGAGCGTCTCTTGCACAGTACGCAGAAGCAGAATGTTCCAACTGCACTCCGGTTGTCCCCTTGTTCGGTGGTTGCCTAGTTTCATCAAGTAGGTTCGTACGGCGTTACCGTGCAACTTGCGCCAACGATTGAGGTGGTCACGAGCTTCGTTCTTCCAATCGCCGACTGCTTTTCTCATGGTCTCAATCATCGGATCGATGAGTTGTGTTTTGACGGCGTCGAGGAAGACTTCGAGCTGCTTCAAGAATCCGGATGCGTAATCTTCAAAGTTGAACCTGGGCCCTGACTGCACCGGGGTGGAAGTCGTGCTGCAAGCGAGCTCGATGAAGCTGAAGAGCTCGGGTAGTGTTCGCCTGTAAAAGCGAAGAAGATCTTTCTGCAGCCGTTCATTGGCGATAGCGACGAGTTCCTTGCATAAAGTGGGGATTCCGGTGGACTCAACGGACAGCGGCAGATGTTCGTCGGTATACTGGTGGTAACCCTCGACATGCTGCATGTAGTCTATGGCCGAAGTCGTCATAACTGTCAAATTTTCGTTCTGGTACTTTGCGAATCTTTTCCTCAACCTGTCGCTGATGCGACGACCTCGTTCTCGGGCACATATTTCGTGTTCTTCGAGGGTGATAAAAGCGATCTCGCGGGCGCAGTGGTCTCTTTGCGCATAGTCTGTTGGCGCGTAGCTGTCTTTCTTTCTCCGAGTTTCTACTTTACGTTCGGCTAGCCAGTCGAGATCAGCTATCTCATGTTGGTTGAATAATGCATCTTTGCGATTCGAAGGGTCCAGATTGGACTCTCCCTTTGTCAAGACGATGATGATGCGTTGATCGGGTCTCCTTGTAGTACGGTCCTTAATTAAGTGGTCAAGAAACGCGCTGTCGCCAGCTCGCGTGATTTCTTCGGCGACTACGACTACTTTGCAGTCCTGGAGATATCGGTTCGCTTTTGTTTCACGGTCCTATCAACATACGGTTAGCTTGAGCGATGTCAACCTGGGAAGGGCACAAGCTTGCCTTGTTGATGTCCTGTAGTCCAGGGCAGTCGCCGATTGAGTAGCGAATCCGAAAGTCACCAAAGACCTCAATCCTCTCTACGAACGACGAAGGGTTGAAGCCAAGCTTCGTGTCGTCCATCTTTGTTTGGTCGTCGCTGAATTGTGCGAGTTCCTGCCGAAGCTCCGTCATATTGGTAGCGTAGATACCTTGTGCGGACATGTTGACGATCTTCTGGCGTCGTTCCTCAGCCCATTTGACGCATTGGTCGAACGCATCCTTTTGCTTCGCTACTGATGGGACTTTGGACGGCAAGTCAAATCCTAGGAAGGATGAAATAGATTCGATCGATGCGAATTCGGGGAGGTCGCTGAACAGATTTTGAAGCGCATTGATACTGTCTTGTCCTTGTTCGTCGAACTCTAGGGCCTGTCCTTCGCACATTTTCAGGTTCGCCGCAAGATTGGCAAGATGCTGTTGTACTGAATCTCGACAGTCGGTCTTGGCGGATACCTCCAGTCTTACCTCGTAGGGGATTTGTACGTGCGCTCGACGGGGCGAGTATACAATTGGAATACGAGTCGTTGCCACGCCGGACGCCGCCTAAAGAAGTTAGATGACATGATGCCTTGAGGAAGTCGTGCTTACCGATCTTGCAATCCCATCGATGCCCAAGATAGCATCTATCAGTTTCGACTTCCCCTGCCCAGTCTTGCCGACAACTGCCACACGCTCGGGTTCGCTTTGGTACTCGTCCATCACCTCGTTGAGCTTGGGTCTGAGACTTGCGGCTAGTTGCGGGTCGTTGTCTGGCTTGACAGCTAGAATAAAGTCTTGTGGAATCTCCAGGCAAGCCCTCTCGGCTTTCAAGAATTCATCATCGTAGGCGAGTAGATCGGGCAACGTTTCCGTTGCTGGATCGTGACGAACAAAGTCCTTCGTATTACCCTTAAGATATTCTTGATATCCTGCTATTCTCCGTTCTACCCGCCGTTTTGCGGATGGGCGTACTGCCTTTGACTTGGCTGGCTGTGCTTGCTCGGAAGCTGTAGTGGTCAGTGTCTGCACAGTGGCCGGTCTTGGATAGGACCTTAAGATGTGATACTCACCTGGTCTTTTCTTCGGGTTCACCATGTTGGCCCGAGAGGTGCTTGGTTGGAGAACAGACGCCACCATCTCAGATGGTTCAAGGCGTTACGATCGCGACTGTGGAGGTCTACTATTACTGCAACGAGGAGTTAGCAATGTGTGCGGGAGGACAGATGTCGCACGCTCTGCACATGCTATATAGGTAAATATCCGTGCAAGAAAAAGCTTTGGCTGCCGCGGCACATGATGCGATGAGCAAACGCTGTCTGAGACAATACATGTTTATTGCCGTAGATGTTTGACTTATTGGTCCCATTGCAGAGATCGAGCAATGCTTCCATCGTGCATGGACCAGTCTTGTCGTCTCAAATGTCTTGCCGGTCGATTTGTCCCAGACGTTGTCGTGACACCAATGCTGGAATGCTCCGTGGTCTGTATGGCACGCTCGTTCGCGCGCACAGCCTCGCGCACGGCTAATGACAGGTGACAGAACTTTAAAACTTCCCGCACGGTTCGGCATGGCAGAGAGGAAAGGGAACATGAGAATACATACCGGAAGCGAGTGAGATTTTAAAAGCAGCAGATTCCTTTGCTGTGCCGCTCGCGATGCTAGGGAAGGAATGATATGTGCGCGCCGATGGTCCGGAGGGGTTGAAAGCGATTTGTCGCTGATAAGACGCGTCGCGCATGCACCCAGGCGGCGTAGTACTTGGCGTGCGTGCAAAGACGGTCGCGATGAAGGAAATGAGGGACGCGCCCAGTGTGTTATAGAATCTGACGTGCGAATGCCGCGAAAAAGAAAGCAACGGTGTGGAGGGGAAACCTGGAAGAGGTGGTCGCAAGGTTCTGCGCGTCGAGATACACGGTCGCACTTTCTAGCTGCAAGCAACACCAGGTACTAGCAGGAGACGAAACGGTACGAAGGCAGGTGCGCTTCTCTACCTTGGGGTTAAGGGGTTTCAAATACTCCACCCTCGGTATCCTCTGATGAAAATGACATCAATTTCTTCGCCGTTAGACGATGGCAACACAGCGCGAACCCCCAGCGCGTTCTCCCGGCCGTGCGCTAAACCCTGGTCTCAAACTCAATGCGATCAACATGCCGCGTGCAGATGGCAGTGAAGACACCCGTTCAGCGGTCGTCCAGGTGAACATCCCAATGGCCCGATTCTAGAGGAAGTGAGATTGGATCACCTAGGCAACATCCCACGCCATGTTGCAATGGGTGAGTTCGAGATTGCCGGCCAATACTTGTATCCTGTCCGCTAGTGAAGCCCCGAAAGTTTCTTCGATGTCGAATGTGACAGCTTCTTATCGAACTCGAACCGTTTACCTAGCAACCGTTGAGTGCATCCTCTCGTGAAGACGCTTGGAGTGGGTGAAAGCGTCGCGACCAGCAGCATGCATCGACGTTGCTGCCGCTGCTGCAAAGAGCTCGGGCCAAGGAACGCGAGCGGAGCTTCGGTCGGCCCGGGCATAGCGCGCTTTGTGGTATCAGTTCCAGAAACTTCTGCCTCGAGCTCCCCTCTACATAATTCGCATGAACACCTCGACTCCTTCAACATTCTGCACCTGCGCCTTGATTTGTCGCTTGTAGAGATCCGTTCCAGCTTGAGCGCTACAATTTGTAAGTATTCACCACCCTTTACCAATCCTTGAATGATGAGACACAAGCTGGCACCAGTCTGAGAAGACTTGTACTCTTTATATGCGGATCAGCTGCTTAGACTTACGAGTCGCCCTCTGACAATATCCCACTACACATGTTTTTCTACATAGTATGAG